CCCCAAAACCCCAAAACCCCAAAACCCCAAAACCCCATAATCTTATAATTTCTAAATTAAGGGAAATTGAAAAATTAATATAAACTTGACACATATATTTGAAATAATGGAGGGGATTGAGGCATTTATACTTGATGAAGTGTGGGGCATATTAGCAAACGAATCAATACAATTGAAAGGATAAGATGTTTATTAGTAAAATTTTATAGATGACCTTCGAAATGAGGTAATTAATCTTAATGATCAACACAAAAATGCATAAAATTCAATAGAGGAGTTGAGCAACAAATTTAGTGGACTTGACCTTCTAATAGATTGGTTTAATTGGCACACTGCCACTGGCAAAGGAATAATTTACTCTAAATACAAGAAAACTTTCATTAAATCCTAGAATAATGGAGATAATATAATTCAGTAAATGACTATAGATGAATAGGAAGAAATAACTAAAATTAAAAAGGAAAAAGTTAAACAGATTTTTGCGATAGATGCTTCATAAGTAAGATTTAACTACAAAGGATTGCAAACTATTTAAGGGCCAATCGATGATAAATTTGATGTGTTTGAGATGCCTGACCTATTCTACATAAATTACTTGCTTAAGAGCTATCTTTGCTTTGGAGGAGAAAAACATGCCCTTATTCAGTATCGATATCATAATCATTCTAGGGATAAGAAGAATACTGAGTTTGGAATATAAACAAATGTCAAATTGCTAGAGAAGTTTAAAAATAACAATTTCATGACAAATTTTATCTTCAACATAGAATAGGAAGCAATAAGAGTAATAATTTTAGAATAAATAGATTATGATTAAGACAAAACAATTTTCATTGAATTATTAAAGCCACAATCACGTTTGCCTGAACTAACAATTGAAACATTAATTGAAAGAAAATGGTCCTACTATATAAATAAAGATAAGAATTAGATTTTTGCTATTAAGGAGAAAAGTTTCATAGCTAAGTTAAATGAAATTTATAATAAATGTAAGCAAGAGAATGTAGATTATTCTGAATGGCTATAAGTAGGCAAGAAGAAATAAGTTTTTTCATGTGAAGTTAATAAATTACCCTTCGCATTAGATCCCTAAACCTTAGATGTATATCAATATTCTTTCAAGCAAGAGAAGAATCAATTTTAGTGGAATGTAATTGAGACTTTTAAGTTTCCTAAGAATTATAATGATGGTAAATATTAGAAAGTAAATGAATTTACCTACACGGAGATCCTTAATCGAGAAAGTTTTGAGTTTAAGTATGTAGCCTTTAAATTTCTACTAAGTAAAACTGGCAGAGATCCTAGATTGAATGAAATTTAAAGTGCTGTTGATAAAATGTATAAAGAAATAGATTAGGTCAACTTAGGATAAGTTGTAGAGATTAAGAAAATTCTTGATAAGTAAACATGTGCATAAATCATTTAGCAGTGAATTTGAAAGAATATTATCAAAACATCCATAGATAGAAGTATTAAGTCTATTAAAGCATTTGTTTCATGGTTCCAGAAAGAATGATCCTTAGAATATCTTATCATTTGAGAATGGACTAGATATGAGATATAGTAATAATGGTGCGCACGGTATTGGACTTTATTTTGCAGATAATTCTCAATATTCTCTGAACTATGCGTACAATTAAAATGGCAAAAAGTAGATGTTTTTATGTACAGTCATAACTGGATTATCATCATCTTCAGGAGGGGGCTAAGGTGCTAGAATGCCTGCAGCTATACCTGGTAAACAAGGCGAATTATTTGATTCATTTAATAATGGATTAGGAGGTCATTTTGTAGTTTATGATAATCAAAAATCATATCCTGGATATTTAATCACTTTTTGAAAATTTTATTGATTAATTCCAATATTGCATTTGCTTGAGTTTTAGTCATTTGAGTTTTGGGGTTTTGGGGTTTTGGGGTTT